ATGAAAAGGAAGCAACACCGTGAATAGGCGAACTTGTCAATTTAGTCGAAGGGGACCCGGTTGTCATAACCGGGGACTTCAACGCTCGACACAAAGATTGGGGTAAGAGCACGAAAAAAGGCCGTCAAATTAAACACGCAATGCAAACTGCGGGTTTTACTTTTCTTATCAAGCCGGGAGCCAAGACAAGGATTAGAATGCACAGAAGGTGAAAGGTGGGATCTGGTGGAACAGGAGAGCACGATGAAGCGGGGTAAGGATGAAGTAGCCTTCTACCTGGCAAGGGTGGGGACGAAAGCGTCATCAGAGAAAACGCAATATATGATGGTCGCTCGCCCTAGGAACCACAGTTAAGGTATATCAAGCTCAGTACGGCTAGAAGTGAATCGAGAAGAAATCGGCGGCAAACAGCTACGTATCAGAATCCTTGGAGTCACCTTCGAGCAGACGGCAAGGACTAGATGAATCTCGGAGATGAAAAAAGCGTGGGCTCAGGGTCTCAAGCTCACGAAGAAAACAACAGGTCAGTCCTGAGGAGATGATGAGAAGGCTCTGCGTATCTTCACGGTGGCCCTTATCTCGTAGCGAGTACTGTACAGATGCAACTGGCTGAAACTCAACCAGAGGAAGTTGAAGACACTCGAGAGACTTAACAACCGATCCAGGCGAGTAGTCATGGTCCTTCCCACGTACACACCGCTCGCAATGCTAGAAAAGGAAGCACAAATGAATTACAAAAAAGACCGGGCCGAATCCCAAGCGATCGCCCAGTTTCATAGGCTAGAGAGCACTAAACATGGGCGTACATTCCTGCAAGACCTGGGATAAGAGACAAGGAACAAGCCGCCATTGGGAGAGATGCTACCTCCGTGGCGGGACGAGATAATAACGGATCATCGGCCTCTACCTCAAGTTCACAGCTGAGGGGCGAGGGCTAGATCCGCGGAGATGCAGGCGGCACGGTGCGAAGCACATGCTCCAAACGAAGAAATACGGTACACGGACGCCGCAAAAAACGGTGATAAAGCGACATCAGCCTTGCATGACGCAAGGAGAGGGAGGTCAGAAACCCAATCACTACCGTCGGGCACGACGGTGAGGGAGGCCGAATCGAGAGCAACAGAGCACGGCGGTTGCGCCCGCCAGAAGTTTTAGAGACTCGCAAGCTGCGATTAACGCAATACGCGGTAGCAGACCAAGGGGCCGGACAAGAAAAAAGATCAAGAAAGTGGTGACGAAGCTTCGCATAGGGGGAACTGATCTGTGCATCACATGGCTTCCCGAACACAGCAAAATCCCAGGAGATGAAGGATACACAGAACAACAGGGGGAGAAATATTTCACTGCTCGGCGACTGGTCCGACCTCCTATTCTGAAACGAACAACACGGTAGAAATCGAGGAACAGACTGGAACTTGCCCGGAAGGTGAGGAAGGCCTACCTCCAAAGGTTTTTACCGTCACAAGACGACAACATACTAACGACCTAAATCAGATGGGAAGCTGTCCGAGTCTGACGGATCAGGACCGGAAGATCATTCACACAGGCCAAACAAGCGAGCTTCGGGCTTGCCGACCCCGAGGTCTCTAGATGCAAGGCCTGTGCCGGCAACAACAGGGCCACATTACGCCCCTTTTTCTGTAACTGTGCTAGCCTGGAACGGCTAAAGAAAAAGGCGATCCAGTCTTTTCGGGAAGAAAAAAACCCGGCGACGCTGAGGGAGTGGTGCCGACCCCAGGGAACACTTCAGAACAGGAAAGCGGCCCTCGATTTTTTGATAAGCTCCATCAGGGAGACAGGGAGCCATCATTGCATTTAACTCTTTCACATCATGCCCCCTCCACCTCTAAAGCTATCTCAGGTTACCCCACCAAGAACGGCGAACCACTAATCTCGCAACTGAACATAATTCAGCAAAAGCAACTTAGAATTATTCCTTGATATTCATGACCTACGAAGAAAACTTTATTTTAGAGCGCAGCGCTTGGGCGCCCGTTTTCGTGTTTCGTGGTGTCACCGTGGGCTTAACCGCGCTAAATTTAGCGGGAAAAATGACATCACGTGACTTCAACACCAATTCAATTCCCTGCTAAATGTAGCGGTAGAATTGATGTCATGTAACCTTAACACCAATTCAACTCCCAGCTAAATATAGCGGGGAATTGACGTCACGTTACCTCAACCGCAATTCAATTCCCGCAAATCTAGTGGAGAAACTGAATTTGTTCATAGGTGAGGTGACACGAAGTCATGTGACGGCCTTTTCCCCACTAGCTTTAGCGGGAATTTGAAACGGTGTTTGAGGTCTCGTGGCGTCAATTTTCCAGCTAAATTTAGCTGGAGGAGTAGGAGGAGGGGTGGAGTGGAGGAGGAGTAAAGGAGGAGGAGAGGGAGAAAGGGGAGGAGTAGGGGCATACCCTCCCCTCCTAGTCCTCAAGAGCTGCGCTCCAACTTCGCATTATAAAGATTTTTAAACGTCCTTAATTTTGTTTTCTCTCGCAATGGTAGTCGCAGAAACAACATTGGGAAAAACCAACCGTTAATCCCTCAACTCAGCGACAAAATAAGCGGCGACGTTATCTGGAGCCCATTAAAGGACGGCAATGATTAACATATTCACGCTCTGGGGTTGGCGAAGTTCCGGACGGGCCCAGTTCTAAGAATTGTAAGCTTCGGCAGTTCCCGTTGTCACAGTCACTAGGCACGAACCGCTACCCGAAGATGACCTTGTGACGTCGGTGGTCGATGGTTAGATTGTGGGTATATAAGGCTTTGAGGAAATAAACGCAGTAGCTGAGTTTGAGACGTTCTTTTCCCCTGTCTTTCTTCTTCGACTCCGTTTCCTTGCTTTTACCAAAGTCTCGGGTTTTCTACATCATGATCAACATCCACCAGCTCGCCTGCGCACTCACAGTTTTTTCATTGCTCCTTTGCAACGTCGTCTGCTCGCAACGTCGCCTGCGTCTTTCTTACCTTTCCTGCGACTTTCGGAGGTCGAGCGAGCTCGACTCCGCCTTCCAGCGAGGGCAGACGAAATAACTCGAGCGTTACGTTGCTTTTGTCTAACAACTAGCAGACGCGCATCAAGGAGAGAAGTCATAGGACTCACTGGCAAGGTGTACCGAGGCACCGAGGTTTGTTTGCTAAGAACCGAGAGCGAGGGTGGTTAGTGTCCGCAAGTTCCGTCCCAAATTACTTTTCCCCTCCTTTTGTGTGCGGTGAGACTCCTCACTCTTTAACGGCGTCGGCAGGTCGGCGCAGTTAACGTCGTCTGCTTTACGTCTGCTAGTCAAAGCGATGGCTGCTTTACCCTTCCTGCGCCTGTCGGAGGTTCACCCCTTTTTTTACCTGCGAGAGTCACCGTTGCCTCGGAAAACATGGAGATGAAAAGAGAAAGAGATTGACCTCTTAATCTAAAATTGAGGTCAGCGATCAAAGTATAAGACGGGAAGGGTTCACAAGGGTCGCGCAGGCATATTCCATTCAGCACGCCAGCCGATCGTGGGCAGACGGTCGCCGAGTCGGAGTGCCTGCTAGGCCTATCTGCCGTGCTCGCTTGGTCGTTGTCGGTGGAATCGTGGCCGTTGGAGCTTTTCCCGGGTGTTCGTGTATCCAGCGTTCTTGTTCGTCGTGGTCTGTTTCAAGTAGTTTTACTTTTTTCTTGCTACTTGAAGTCGGGACGCGTGAGAAGCGCACTTAGAAAAATAAACGCCCGTTGGTCGTCGGGACCGCGACGTTGTCGACCATGCTGATTTGATCGTAAGAAGTGCGTAAGACAGCTTCGGAGTTGTTGTAGGATTTCGTCGTAACCTGCGCAAAACTTACGAAAATTTCGTTTCGTGGATACGAATTTGTTCTCCAGTTTTGTCTTACGCATATTTTTGTCATAAGATCGTTTTGTGAACCTGGCCTCTGCACTTTCGAAAGCCTCAGGAAAGGTAAGACAGACGCAGACGACGTTGCGAGCAGACGGCGTTGCAAAGGAGCAGACGACGCTCAGACAGGGGGTCGCGATCTGCCAATCAGGGCTCAGGGTTCTGACGTCACCGCTACCCCCTGCGCAAGGAGCAGGCGAACTTGCCCTCCGCATATCGATGCATTGTTTGTCACGAGCCCAAATCGAATGTCCACACAAAGCTCCGGTCCACTGTACGATCCGCATTTAGATATTGTCACAGAAGGGATCGCAAAGCTTGATGACGCAATTTCTGGGATTGCATTGCTTGTGTTTCCCCCTCAACTACGTCATCAGGTTTTTCGAGACAGAGGCTGAAAGAAAACATCCGATATTATCCTTCAAATTTCAAGGCGACATAGACGCCTCCTGGTCAGAGGCGTTACATTCGGGAATTCTTGAGTTTCACCGCTGTCAGTAAGGTTGTGCAAAGCGAGGAACACTCCTACCAAATATCGTTGCACGGCCCCTTTACTCTGTCACCAATTATAAGAAAAGAATTGGTTCTAATCAGTGCTCGGTCTAGGAGAAGTAACGCATGCGCGTACCTTTGAGTGCATTGTCAAGGAAGTTGCCCCGGAGATTAGCCAAACGTCGCTCCTTCTCCTTCTGCGTCCCCTGGCTGATCGAGTACGGTCATAATCAGCCATTTGGCGCTTTGGTTCAATATTTTCAGTGCCCTCCTTACGCTTTCAAAATATGGCGATGTCTTTGACACATCTGGCGATGCTTTTGATTTGAGGACCAGAATTTTGAAGGGGAATGATTTCAAGACATCTCACTGACACGGATAGCGAGCTTTATAACAGCATATGAAAAAGCTTCTCGTAGAGGAAGAGCTAGCGCCGATATCAAACTACGTTGTAAATTCGCCCCTGACAAAACGCCTTTCGTTGCGTACGCTAAGCATTGCGTACGATATTTTAAAACACGAAAATATTTTATAATGTTGTTGTCCCCGCGTGATTTGTTCTCGACGTAGCCACTAATGGCTCGAAGGTTATATTGCCTCGTAGCTATTCGACAGAATCACCGGCGCTCTCACCAAGGCCTCCAACGCCGAGCAGCAAGCACTGCCTGAAGCACTGCCAGAAGAGCTGGTAGCGGAGGTTGAAGGCGGCGGTGAACATGACGACCGGCATGTACAGGAAGAGCAGCTCGCTGACGTGGGCGTCGGTCACCGGCAGCAGCTTCTCCTTGAGGTCGTATTTTGCCGCCAAGCGTCCGACCATGTACCCGATCAGCGCCACGACGGCCACGATAGGCACGTTCACCAGGCGCTTCGCGGCGCGGCACAGGCCTGACGGAATCGTCGTCAACGTTAACCAGGACCACGGGAAAGGAGGGACAGAAGCAAAATTGAGTGCCATGACTAAAGTTGTGCGCAGAGTAGATTTGATCAAATCGAAGCCACAAATATGGTGACGGTATCGGGGTGAGGCACAGGACGTTGTGGGGGCTTTTATTGTTATGCGTTCAAAGAATGACTACGAGAATTTCTTACAAAAAGATCAATCACTTTTATAGTTATTATATAGAAAGTGATAAATTAAACCGAAGTGAGGTAAAAAAGGTAGCGACGCAATTGAGGTGAGTCTCAGGACGTTCTCGGACCGTTTGTGAAAGACGTCCAAATCATGTCTTCGAGCAAACGTTTTGCAAATGTAAAACAAAACAAAAAAAAAGTTATGCGATTTTTTGCACTTGCGGGCATTAATAGCGAAATATAGGTCCATGTAGTCAATGTTTAGAGATTTATGGTGACACTGAGAGCAAGTCTGTGACGTTCTTATGTCTGTTTTAACTGTCTTCGAAAGAACGCCTCCAAACAGACGTAAAGCTAAATCTAAAAAGAAAAGAAGTTTGAGATCAAGGTGCAGCGGAGGACGCTGTTATCCTGCCCTGCATTCGACGTTTCGCAAGGACGTTGCACAGATGTTGATGAAACCTCTACCAAAGACATCATCGACGTCGACGCAGACATTATTTTGATGTCCTGGCGGCGTCCTGTGCTACCTGGGATAGTGCTGCGTCCTTTGCATCCTCAACACCTTGCCATATCGACTCTGCTTGCGTAGTGAAAAGCTGCAGCTCAATTAGCACAAAGTTGCCCCTGAAACTCGCAACCAACGTGGGTCCTACGTCGGTTGTGCAAATCATACCCCAGTGGGTCTACTGGGGCAGCTATCTGGGCTGCCCTCGTGAGGCCCACAGGTAGCCTAGGTGGACAGCCAACAAGTGCGTCCTTCATGAGATTCAAAGTGTTCCTACGTGGGTAGCCCATATGAGCAGCTCCGTGGACCTTATTGCGTTCGGGTTCATTTCATAATTCCCCTACGAGTTTGGCTATAGCAGTGCATCCAATATTTGGCAAGATTCATAGCTAGCTTGCGCCGGCTACAGACATCATAATCAAATTCCAATAGCCATGTATCAAATTGAGCCTTAGATACAGTATTTTGAGTAAACAATTCATGACCATCAAAAAAATGTTTTTTTATACATGTATATACAGTAGTGACTTAGTAATATTGTTTTCCGAACCCAAAAGCTTTCTCTACAGCTCGATAATTCGGTATCACCTTACACCACTTTCCTGTGTTACAATTGTGAACGTGCACAAAATATTTTTAATGTCAAAGGAAAGCGTAATTTTGGAAATCGCACGGGCAGCCTCAGTTGGACATGCCCAAGCTGTGCCACAGTGTGATACATCTCTATTCGAACTCCGCCTATATAGCCGAGGTGTACCTACAGGGGCATTGCGTGGATAGCCCAAGTTGGGCATGCCCACGCGTAGCAGAAATGATACCCACGGGGTATTACATGGGCAAACCGAATAAGGTATGACTTCGTCGTACCGACGTGGGACCCAAGGGAGAATTGCAGGGGCTGCCCCAACGCACCTTGCCAATCTGAGGCCCACTTCATATTTTACCGCATATTGATAGGGTACCACTAATTGTGATACCCTCTGAAGAACGCTCAAGATTATATTTATCTCTTTTTTAATAGTTGAGGTTTGCATTATGCTTCCGTGTAGATTAGGAAGCTCTGTTTTAATCTTTGGAAGAGTGGACATTTTTTAAAGGGTGTGTTGGAGTAGATAGAAAAGTACTTTTAGAGCGCAGCTCTTAGGGGCCCGTTTCCGGCTTGAGCGGCGTCGCCGTCGGCGTCGGCGTCGGCGTCGGCGTAACCGCGCGGTGCATCATGGGAAATGTCCCATAATGCACCGCGCGAGCCCCCTACCGGGGTCACGTGACCTCGTGGGGGGCACGTGACCCCCCCGAAGTCACGTGACCCCGGTGCATCATGGGAAATGTCCCATAATGCACCGCGCGAGCCCCCCACCGGGGTCACGTGACCTCGTGGGGGGCACGTGACCCCCCCCCCGAGGTCACGTGACCCCCCGAAGTCACGTGACTCCCCTGAGGTCACGTGACCCCCGCCGATGTCGCGACCCCCAATGACGTCATCGTCACTGATGACGTCACCGGCATCCACATCGTCATCGTCATCATCACTGATGACGTCACCGGCATCCACATCGTCATCGTCATCATCACTGATGACGTCACCGGCATCCACATCGTCATCGTCATCATCACTGATGACGTCACCGGCATCCGCATCGTCATCGTCATAATCACTGATGACGTTACCGACATCCGCATCGTCATCGTCATCATCACTGATGACGTCATCAGTGCCGTCACTGATGTCGTCACCGGCATCCACATCGTCATCGTCATCGTCACTGATGACGTCACCGGCATCCGCATCGTCATCGTCATCATCACTGATGACGTCACCGGCATCCGCATCGTCATCGTCATCATCACTGATGGCGTTACCGACATCCGCATCGTCATCGTCATCATCAGTGATGACGTCATCAGCGACGTCACTGATGACGTCACCGACATTCGCATCGTCATTATCACTGGTGAAGTCATCAGTGACGTCACTAATGACGTCATCGGTACCCGCATCGTCATCGTCAATGATGACGTCATCAGTGACCTCAGTGATGACATCATCGGCATTGGGGGTCACGTGACCCCCAAGGTCACGTGACCCCCCCCCCCTGGTTAGTTTAACCTCCCCCCAGTGCCCTTCCCTCCTCCTCCTCAAGAGCTGCGCTCTAATTCGGCGTTACAGGGAGTTGTAAGCAGCTTTCACTTTTTTATGGTTTCCTTTTCTTGGCCATTAGTAAACCTGTAAAATGATTTTAGTGAAATGTTCGGTAGCGAAGAAAAGAAGTGGACAAATGATTTTACCGCACCCGTAATATTTGGAGAAGGCATTTTATATTGTTGGAAGCTCGTTCGTCCAAATCGGTGTGGTCTTCGTAATGTTCAGCTTAAATTGGTTTCTACGTGTCTAGTTTCAGGTTATTTTAACATTGCTACTTTTTTGCCACATTCCGTGGTTAGCGTGGATGGCCTTAAATAAATTCTGCTCTTGTACGATTTGACTTATTGTTTATTTCACGGCAAACTAGCGTTTCGACTCGCCTCAATACAATTTCTCAATATAGTGTAAAACCCTTTATTTTCGCGGCCCCTATTTTTCGCGAATTGGTCACAGACTTGTAAATATATCAGCTTGAACTTTAGAAATAACTAGGACACAAAGACAGAAAGCACAACATATGACACACAGCTGACTACCAACGATATTTTAGTGTAAACTTCTTTCTTGCGCTTTTGCTCCCTCCTTTTGAGTCCCAAGTGGAGCGCGATAAACCTAATATATATATTACCCTATTCCACTATTAAAGATCACTTCCAATATTTACACTTATACAAAAATATAAATCATTTGCACAGTATTCCTAACAAATTATTGTTTTTGAACTAACCCGCCACATTCTCGTGCTGTTGTTGTTTGGGGCGTAATATTCCGTAGGTATTGTCTTTCTTTTTTGTGTATGGTGACTGATGGCGTGCTGACACAATCCTTGGCGTGCTCCTCGATGGCGAGTGCCTCGAGCATTTCGCGTGCATGTTGATTGCTGTTTCTTGCAAGAAGGGTGGTACTGTTCAAAGCTACACTGCACTGGCATGTCCTCCAATGAACTGCCAGATGTCCTGCCGCTGTTCCCTTTAGAGACGCTGCATGCTCACGGGCTTTGTCGTTGATACATCGGCCTGTTTGGCCGATGTAGCATTTCCCGCAAGACAAGGGAATGTGGTACACCACTCTTGTTGTGCATGGGAGGTACTGCGTTCTGTGGGCTGTGTTGCAGGGTGTTTTCTTTCTTTTTTCGGTTCACTTCACGGCACATACAGTATGCTTTGTTGGGCGCGGTGCGTACTACTTCTACGTCATTTCTTGCTGCAATCTTTTTCAATTTGTGGGTAATTCCATGAATGTACGGTAGCACCATGATCTTCCGTCGAGATTTGTCTGCGTCTCCGTTCTCCTGCCTTGTATGCTTCAATTTTTTGCAGATGTTCTCACAGACTGGCACCATAAGACTAGTTGGATATCCCGAATCTCGTAGGCGGCACATCTGTTTTTCAAAACTTTGCCCTATTTGATACTCACACGATTTGTGTAGGGCAGACATTAGAGCCATGCTAGCGACACTCCTCTTGATGGTTCTTGAGTGTCCAGATGCGAACGGCAGAAATCCTTTCGCTGACCGGGGTTCGTACCTCCAGCACACGTGTCCTTGATTGAAAGTCAGATTGAGATCTAGAAATTTTATATTTTTGTCGACAGATGCTTCATAGGTGAAAACCAAGCCGGGCAACTTTCTTTGAAGCATCTAAGAACTGTGTCTCTGGATCCGTTTACGTGGTGGTCGAACTCCATGGCACTTAGTATTAAGAAGTCGTCCACTTAACGGAAAATCGCCTGGACGCTTGTATGTTTCAGGTTGTTTTCGGTGATCTTGCCGCATGCCGCCAGGTAAATATCACAAAGCTGCGGCGCCACTCGAGATCCAATGCATACTCCGCTTTTTTGCACCATTGGTTGGTCTTTATATACCACCACAGTCGAGTTTAGATATACACCTAACAGTTCTAAAAAGGTGTCTACATTTATTTCTGCGGCGTTCTGAAAAGCTGTGGTGCCTTGCTTCTCAATGTTAGAGCGGAGATTTGCCATAATGTTTGTGTGCGAATCGAATAGTACATGCCTTGAATATCTATTGAAAATCCAGATGTGACACCGGTTCCATTTTCTTGAAGATATGCAATTAATTGCTCCGAATTCTTGATTTTGTATGATCATCCGATTGTTTCAAGGATAGGCGATGGGATAGGAACGTCGACAGATGGATTTGCCAGGTTTCTTTTTCCGACACACTTGGTTGTGTCGGTTGGTTTTCACCTATGAAGCATCTGTCGACAAAAAT